GTATGGACTGTGATAAGAGTTGTATGATCCCCCAATACAATGATTTTTAAAAAAAAGAGAGAACTTGACCTATAGTTACCATGGGTGAAGGAAGAAAAGAGTTGGCTTGTGGGCACTGAGTTTATTTTAATGGTGGTGGAATAAAGGTTGTATAACATGAGAAGCATAATCAATGGCAATCATACATGTAGAAGTTGTTGAATTAGAGAATGTTTTGTTGTGTATACTTTTGCAACAATTAAATATCTACAATTGATTGTGGTAATGATTGTACAACTCCTCTTGATATGATTGAACTATTGAATTGTATGATATGTGAAGTGCCAATAAAACTATTAAAAAATAATGATCAAGATTTCTATAATCAAAATACTAATGACAACTTTTAAGACAAATGTAGAAAACTAAAACAGTGAAACAAAATTCACAAAGTTATGGTCAGTTTGTATTGGATTTTATTATGTTAATTTTTCACATGCTAATTAACTTTTAGGGTATAGTAAATGATATTTTCTTTACCACACAAAGTTCTTCACTGAAAAATACTTCAAATATATGCAATTTTTCAAATGTAACTCCCAAAGAGCATGTTCATAATGCCTATGGAATGAATAAGACATTTTCCTAAATTCTGAATGGCAGCAGAACAGGGTGAACGATCACACTAAGGTTCACCGTTTGGGTGACTTGGCAAGCTCACCCAATTAGCAGATTGCAGTTATAGGTGAGACCCAAATGTTTTATCTAAAAATGCTGCAAAATTAAAAAATATTTTTTTAAATGCTGCAAAATATGAAAAGATTGCTGTGTTCAAGATTAAGGGAAGAAAATCTGGTAACAGTGCTGACAACTGTATTCCAGAAAACAGTTGCAGAAACCAACTTCAATGGTTCAAAATTCAATGAGGTGTGTGTACGGTCCATCTGTGTCCAGCTTCAACACCTGCTTGTTTCCGTAAGTACCGTGTTCCACCACAACCCGAGCTTCTGCACACTTGCTGTTTGCAGCTAGCTCCTGTTCACACAGAGTCACAAACTGGGAATACAGTTCCAGCCCCTCTTCTTTTCCAGCGTTAGAGTGATACTGCACATTTCTTCCTTTCACTTTCCCGCCCAGAGTGGCTTGAGGAACAATAAGAATGTTGCCAGGTAGATCCAAGATAGAGACACGCTTACCATTTTCTGTCTCACTTAATTTCACATTTAGCAGTGTATTAACTGAGTGGGAAGAAAATAAAACAAGAGGAAGTGAAAAACAAGCATAAAGAAAATTATCAATCTTTTAGTTAATTCAAAAATCTCATGTTTCATGTTCATAGGTCTCTCTGTTCATGCTTCTTACCCAAAGTCTATACTGATTTAAAAAACCTTTTATTATGTTTTAGCTGAAAGCTTACACAGTAACTGGATCCCTATTTAACAATTCATACACAATTTTTTCTGTGATGTAGTAGTTACAATCACTGCAATGTGTCAGCACTCCGTTTCCTCCCATCCTCCCTCCTTCCCTTCCTTCTCAGCCTCCCTCCATCCTGTGTCCCTGCTCTCCTTGCCTTCTTGCCTTTGGTTTTGGGTAAACATTAACCATTTGGTCTCATATAGTTAATTGTTTAAAGAAACATTCCTTGTAGGTGTGTACTTATCGATTTTAAAAACTGTTACACTAAGTCAAATGACCTAAGCAAAAGATAACGCAAATTTTGTATAGAAAGTGGCATGGTGCCTTAAATTGGATATGGCAGACCCTGATGGTGCTGTTCGGTATGTGCTACCACAATGTTGGCAGTTCAAACTCACCAGCTGTTATGCTAGAGAAAGATGAGGCTATTTGCATCAGTAAAGTTCATAGCTTCAGAAACACTAGGTTGTTATGAGTCAGAATCAACCCGAGCAGTTGATTTGGTTTTGCGTAACAAACAGCAAATTCACCCAGAAAGGTCTATAGAGTTATTTGTATACTGGAACCTCAAAATATTGTGTCCCCCGAATTCTACCTTGCAAGTCTGGCTAGACCAGAGGATGTACACTGGTACAAATAGGAACTGGAAACACAGGGAATCCATGGCGGATGAGCCCTACAGGACCAGTGGTGAGTGGCGATACTGGGAGGGTAGAGAGAGAGTGGGTAGGAAAAAGGGAACCGATTACAAGGAACTATATGTGACCTCCTCCCTGGGGGACGGACAACAGAAAAGTGGGTGAAGGCAGACGTCGGACAGGGCAAGATATGACAAAATAATAATTTATAAATTATCAAGGGCTCATGAGGGAGGGGGAGCGGGGAGGGAGGGGAAAAATGAGGACCTAATGCCGGGGGTTTAAGTGGAGAGGAAATGTTTTGAGAATGATGAGGGCAATGAATGTACAAATGCATTTTACACAATTGATGTATGTATGGATTGTGATAAGAGTTGTATGAGCCTCTAATAAAATGATTAAACATAATAATAATAAAAAAATTTTTAAAAAATTGTGTCCCTGGAATACATGAGAAGATTCATCCTTCTGGTTCCGTTTTTATCTTTAAGTATAGCCCACTTGACAGCTCTTCCTAATACCAACTCTGCTTTGTAAGAAAGAACAGTAAATAAGATGTTTAATATATTCATTATTTTAAACTCTGTTGCCTCATCTGTGCTATTGAGACCACAGTTACAGGTCAGATCCCAATATAAACCAAATAATTTTGCAGTCATATCCTCAAAGACACTTGTTAACATGGACTAACCATTTTACAAACATCACCTAAAAAAATCACCTAATAATAATATTTGTATGGTAAACGGTAAAAGCGTAAGCAAGAATCATGATAAATTCATTGTACTACTGAAAAATTAAAACACAGTTAATAACACAATCTTCACCATTCATGAGAAAACAGTGATGATTATTTTTATAGCATTTAATAAAATTATCCCTGGTGGCATAATAGTTTTTCACTGGGCTGCTAACTGCAAGGTCAGCAGTTTGAAACCACCAGGCAGATCTGTAGGAGAAAGAGGAGACTGTCAACTCCTATAAAGGTTTAGAGTCTTGGAAATTCACAGGGGCAGTTCTACCCTGACCTTGTGGGTTGCTGTGATGCAGCATCAACTTGATGGAAGTGAGGTATTTTTTTTGGTTTAATCAATGAGAAGTTTCAAAATTTGTACAAAAATTTATGTGTGTATAAACACTGAAAATATTTATTATCTCAACAATAACCATTTTTGAGAGAATATACAGAAGAGATATTGAATATAAATAGCCTTAGAATCTCCCTACTTCTATAAAACTATAAATTACTTTTGCTTGAAGGTGGTGAAGAAAGCTGATGGTACCCGGCTACCAAAAGATATAATGTCTGGGGTCTTAAAGGCTTGAAGACAAACAAGTGGCCATCTAGCTTAGAAGCATCAAAGCCCACATGGAAGAAGCACACCAGTCTGTCTGACCACGAGGTGTAGAAGGGACCAGTTATC